AGGAGAGGGTGGGAGAGAAGGAAGGAAGGGGGAGGAAGGAAGGAAAGAAGGAAGAAGAGGGAGCAAGGAAGGAAGGAGAGGGAGGAAGGAAGGAAGGAGAGGGAGGGAGGGAAGGAAGGGAGGGAGGAAGAAAGGAGAGGTAGGGAGGAAGGAAGGAAAGGAAAGGAAGGTGGAGGAAGGAAGGAGGGAAAGAACTAGGGAGGAAAGAAGGAAGAGTGGGAGAAAGGAAAGGAAGAAGGAAGGAGAGGGAGGGAGAGAAGGAAGGAAGGGAAAGGAAGGAAAGGAGAAGGAAGGAGGGAAGGAAGGGGGAGGGGAAAGGAAGGAAGAAAGGAAGGAAGGAGAGGGAGGGAGGGAAGGAAGGGGGAGGGGGAAAGAAAGGAAAGAGTCTCCTGGAGAGGAGGGATTCAGCTTGTACTCTTTGGCCCTAGAGGAGAGAACTAGGAGCAATGAGAAGTTGTAAAAAGGTCAATTTCAGCTCCTTGTAAATTAATAAATAAAAAAGTTCATTAATAGATTAATTTGAATAATTAATTAATAAAGCAGCCCAGTCCCCACTCCCAGATGTGAGAGCCTACTAGGAGAAAGGGTACATCCACAGCAGACACATCCCATTGCAAAAATGCCTAGACCTAATAAAACAGGATTTTAGGACTCCCCTGGGGGCAATGGAGTCTTACTCTTGGGATCTGGAATCTGCAAAGCAGCACCTAAAATTGGGGTCTGGCCTTGTTGAACTGAGTTCTTCAGGTCAGGTGTGAGTCAAGACTGTTTGCTGGGCCCAGAAAGGAACTCTTGGGTAGGAGGGCATTGGAGATCATCCAGCTACACTGGCATGACCATCATTCAATGCCCCTCCTGCTCTTGTTGTGACCACAAGGCCTGGGCCTCATCTAAGGCTTAGTCATTAATGTGTCCTGCCCCTTTGAAGCCCCTGATGTCAAGCAAGCAAGGATTTTTAAGGCCCTGCCATGGGCGACGAAGCCAAAAGCCAAAAGTCCAACAGTCCCTACCCTCAGCTGTCAGGGGAGATAACATGCACATATATGCTTATATTTTTTTTTCATATTGGCTAAAATGTTTATGGAATGTAAGAGTTAAGTCACTGTTTCAGTCTGTTTTAAAATCTACTGGTTTCTACCTTTTGCTGAAGACTTTCAATGGTTTTGCCTCAAATGTCTTTTAATGTTCCTGACCATGACAGGAAAAGAACATACTAAAAATATTTACTTTGGTCAGTCTATTTCTATGCACTTGTTCCAAAGGTAAAATTATGTAGAGGAAAGAGATGCAAAGCTGAGAAATCCTTTTACTGCTTAAGTATGAACCACCTTCTCTTCCAAAGATAAGAAAAGTTACCTTTTCAGAGTACTGTTTATCTATTATTATGTCTGGACTGCAAGTTAAGATTTGGCTTATGAATCTAAAATCCATCATTGCCTCAACTGATTCTCTTCCCCGAAGGGTAAAATAACAACTTCCTCCCAGCGGATGAGAAAAATTGAAGTTGCAGAGAGGTGGTCAGTTGAGAAAGCACATTCACTTTCCTATGCTGCATCAATTCCCCAAAATAGCTGCAAATACAAAGTTAAGTGGGGGTGGGAGAAGGGAGAGACATCAGCAGCTGAGGTGACCAAGAAAGGCCCTATGTCGAAAGTGGTGCTTGAGCTGTGCCTTTAAGAAAACAAGGGATTCTAAGAGATGGAGGTAAGGATTTATTCCAGGCTTGGGGGATCAAGCCAGTGAAAAGTTACACATATGAAAGATGGAGTGCGATTATCTTTGAGGTAACTGTGATCCAGGGGTCTGCTGAAGCCAGCTGTACCTTAAAAGCTGATTGTTAAATTTTCAGTGTAAGCATTTACGCCTGATCAGGCCTTGATTTCCTGTTTTGTTGGTTGTCTAAACTTAAGAAACTTATTTAAAAAATGTTAATAATGCAATTTCAACTTAAAGGTATATTGTATATACATTTTCCCCCAGAAAGCTAGTTGTAAAACATTTACCAGCATACCCCTGGTATGGCCCCAACATATCCGTATCCTTATCTTCCTTCATCCTCCTCCTCCTGACCCCCTAAGTATCTCATGTTAAGCACATTCCCTTGTGTGAGGTAAAGTGTGCCCATAATAAAGGCCTATTGTTTTTTCAGCATCTTTGGCCTGGTCTGTCTCTTCTGTGCAAATCTCCAAGTTCCCTACCAGCAGCTGCAACAGCAGTGTAGGCCAGGATCCTTGCAACTTTGATCAACAGCTGAATAGATCAGAGGAGCCCCTGCTAGAGCAGACACGGTAGCGTGTGTGTGTGTGTGTGTGTGTGTGTGTGTGTGTGTGTGTGTGTGTG